TATAATCTAACAAAAAAGAAAGCACAAGAAAACCACTGAATTATGCATCTAAGTTCTAAAGGGGATGCCAAACACATTAGACTACACACACACCTATATTTCCAGCAAAGGGTTATGCATTTAAAAGTCTTAAAATAGTCCACCAGGATCTTGAGTTGCTCTTATATATGCCAATTTAATACATTTTGAACAAATGTATGTATACTAAATGGTTTAATAAATTAGGATAACACCACATGCCATCCACTATCTCAAATGGCATATCATTGCCTTGTGAAATGCATCCACACATAGATGGCTCCATGAGCAAGCACTTGTGGAGCAATCTACATGTAAATACATATGATAAACTAAACCCACACTGGGCATAGCAACTATATATATGCCATCCCCACTGGCTATGGATTCAAAGGTTAGTAGGGAGATTTACTGAATAATGCACATTGTTTAATATGGCACTCCCCTATCTCTAAGCTCTCATGAGTAACCCCTTCCTTCATCTAGGAACTCAATTGTTTATATGTTCACACAGATGCTACAGCTCAAAAATTGAAATCCGCACAAGATCTCCTTTTACTCTACATTCATACACATCACAACTATGTATAAATACGGAGAAAAGTACATGTAAAAACATGAAGATGTATCTAATATTTTGGACTTGCACTCATTCTGCAGACACAAACACAAATAATTTTTTTCAGAAGCTTGATATCTAAGCAAATACTTACAGGAGTATCGATAGTAATATAACCAGAGAGTGCCTTCTGATGCTCTAGTTCCTCGGCTGAAAGCAAGGACTTCCGTGCATCACGAGGCTCCACCTGCTTGACGGTGAGATCATCCACCCATCTCGTGGCTGTTGTGCTGAGGGCGCGCCTGTGTGATGTGGTAAAATTTCAATGTGATGTTTTGTAATAGAACTAAATGATATAGGAATATTAATTTTATGCTTATCATTTTCTCTAATATCTCATTTGTAAATAAATACCCTTTAAGACCGGTATCTACAATATTAGCTAACTACCAGGGTTGATATATATTCTATGTGAAAACTACCATATTTTTCTTTACTGCATATTCAACTGAAGTGACCTTTTTTGATGAAAGTATCTGCAGAGGATAGCACAGAAATGACACTACTCCACAATACTTGGCCCTACTACTCCACTGCCCATCAGGGTTGGAAGAACTCCTGAGATATTTGGGTATACAGAAAGATATGGATAAAATCATTTGCAAAGCTTCTTTCTTTTTTTTTTTTGGTATCACAATAAATATTACTTTTATTGTGCCTTCTTTATTCATTCAACCAAGTGGTTCTAATGTTTTTACTACTGCAAAATGATTCATTCTTTTCACACCTCCCTTGCATCTTTATACTCCAACAGTCCCCATGGGTTTCAAAGGATAAAGAAGGGTTTCATGAATATGAAAAAAAAAAAAAAACAGGAAACTAAATTTAGTAAAGCCTTTTGCATTTTTTTTTTTTCCAAAATTGGTGTTAGCCCATTCCCCTTTTAAAAGATTGATCTATTTAAAGAAGTTCATAGTTTTCCCCCCATGTTAAGAAAAATAAGAATGCTCCTCATCATAAGAATATGTTTTTTTTTTTTTTTTTTTTTTTTTTTTTTTTGGTACCACTTGTCCCTCAAATCAAATTTAGTTTTTGGACTTCTGACTTACTTCTGAATCACTAGGCCTAATTTAGTTACACTGCTGCTCATTGGGGGGAATTCCTACACATTCTGTTTCAAACAGACGAGAAAGATTCCACTGCCGCTGGTTAAAAAGAGAGGCCCTATTTCTCTCTTTTTTTTTTCAACAGGCACAAGAGAGCCACAAACCTCGTTATCACGAATAGTGACAACTCAATTAACGACTGGTCAAGTTTTGTAGGGAAGTGCTTACATATTGGTGTATGAGAAACAGTGCATGATTGGGGGCCAAGGAAAAAGGTCAAAATTGATGAAAGTAAATTCGGCTAGAGAAAATACAATGTAGGGCGTGTAATAGAGGGCCAGTGGGTGTTTGGTGGCTTTTGCTGTGAAAGTAAAGACCTTTTTTTTGTCCCCGTTGAAAAAAGGGACTCGGCCACCCTGATTACCATTATTAAAGACTATGTGCGACCCAGGACCACAAAAATTTCAGACTGCTGGAAAGCCTATGACAGTCTACAGGAAGAGGGCTTCAATCACCTCAAAGTTAATCATTCATATAATTTTGTTGATCCCAAAACAGGCGCCCATACAAATAACATTGAGGGGAAGTGGAGGGACGCAAAATGCGCAGTTCCACAATTTGGCCGCCGGAAAGCACATTAGGGGGTTAGGAAGGTATACTGCGTCTGTACGGCGAAATACCCTCAGGGAAGGGGTTCCGGGGGCTTGCCCCCGGTAGGGAAATATCCCAGAGAAGGGGGTCCGGGGGCTTGCCCCTGATAAGGGGTTAGGAAGGTATGCTTCGTTTGTGCAGTGATCTTTAAGAAATTTCTTTGACATTTCAGCAACACTGACATTGACGGGTGAACGAAAAGTTTACACGCTTATCAACTATTTAGATTTTAATGATATATTTTCTTCTTTCTTTTATTGATAATCTGAATTTCGGCTCGATTTGTTCATTTTTACGCTTTCTTTCACTTAGTCATAACAAAGTTTGGCTCAGGTTTTTAATTTTTTTTGCTTTCTTTAACTTTTTTATTACGAAGTTTGGCTCGGGTTTTCATTTTTTTGCTTTTTAACTTTTTTATTAAAGTTTGGCTCGAGTTTTTCATTTTTTACGCTTTCTTTAACTTTTTTATTACGAAGCTTTCGGGTTTTTCATTTTTACACTTTCTTTACTTTTTTATTACGAAGTTTGGCTCGGGTTTTATTTTTTCAATATTTTCACTTTTCATTCCACTATTTCTCCCGTGTGTGTCCCCCCCCTTCAACCCCCGATTCCCCACAGGTCCCCCAAGATTGATGGGGGTAGAAGAAAAAAAATAAATAAATAAAAAATAGGCGCGGCTCTTACTTAGAATTACCCTGAAATCTGGCAAATATATCCACTCTTTGCTCCCAAAGAGTGAAAGATCTAATTCTAAATAAGAAAATGGTCATTGCATCCTATGATACAGTATATTAACATGAAAACATGTGAGTCATAGAGAAAACAGTATCTCAGCATAGATTAGCAAGTGAAGTTGGGGCTTAGTAGCAGGGTTCTTGCAGCTATAAGCTCATGAAATCTAAGACTTTTTAAAGACTTAAGACATACCAATCACTTTTTAAGACCTGGAGCCACCTGTTGCTGAATACACACTTCATTATGTGTAGGTCTACTTATCAAGAAAAAAATCACCCAGACATGATTTTTCCATCGCCTCTTGGATAAATTGTGCACCAGAATTTTTTTTCTCTGCACACAGCCCATAGGTAAACAGTCAAGGTCAAGGTCTAATGTTATGGAAAAATGATTTCCGATCAAGCCATGATCAGCAAGTTAGTGAAGCGTAACAGATATGTACATTTATGAGAACAAAGATGTGCCTTGGGCAAATTTAAGACATTTTAAGACCTGTCACAGAAAAACCTTAGTTTTTAAGACAATTATGTATAATATTCAGCAAGAGAGCTCAGACTAGTTCTGCATTAGGTGCTAAACTGTCAAGTAACCTTATAAACCTCTCCTATTATTATTATATATCTAATATAATGGATGTCTCTTTGTCACTGCAGGGGCATGAAAGCCACAGCATCACTAGATTTAGCACTTGCAAGTGTAGACTTACCATATACACTTATCTGTGCTATAATAGTTACTGGAGCAGATTTGGACAAATTTTTAAATCATATGTAGTTGATAATTATATTCTCCACCTTGAACAACAAAGATCTGCTCTCACAAACACTGAAGAGGGTGTTGGTAAGTGTAAGTGTGTGAATTTCAATTACATTTGGTTTGGTATTGGCCTAATATTTTGCCAAAATGCACAAGTGATGTTAATGATGAGAAATATACACTGGTGTGCAAAATTTCAAAAGAGCTGTCCAACAAAAACTCTTTGCCAAAAAGGGCCTTGATTTCATGATTTAACTAGTGTTACATTTTTTAAAAAAATATTATTATTATAAAAGACTAATGTTAAATTTTTTTTTTATTATTATTATTATTATTATTATAAAAGGCTACTACCTTGATTTCCTTCCTAATCCTCACGATCATTGTTTTGAATAAATACATGATATTTATTGAACAACAAAGATATGCTCTCACAAACACCAAAGAGGGTGTTGGTAAGTGTAAGTATGTGAATTTCAATTACATTTGATTTGGTATTGGGGTAATTGTTGAAGACCGCGACGCACCCTCGCAGAGACTAAGTCGAAAAAAATGATGTTTTTCAGCATGAAATCCTATGATTTCATCGATTTTCGGCGTTGTTTCTTTTGCGAATGAATCGTTCAGGAGATCGAGTACCATTTCTCCATCGACGATCTTGATTTGATAGTCCCGTTAGCAGGGGAGGGCATGAAGTATATCAGGGAAATTATGGGGTAAAACAAAGCTTAAATAAGAAGAATAACGATCAAAAATGCGTAAAACTAGCACAAAAAAGCGAAACTCTACGGATGTAACCGCCATCTTTGAAAGTTTACGGACTGACGCAAATTAAAAAAAAATCTACGGGAACCCAACCCACATTTCGGCAAAAAAAATCCACGGGAATTCACACCTTCCAACCCCCCCAAAAACGTATTGACCAATAAACCAACCAACCTAATATATCAATATAAATTGCCGTGACTAGGCGTGCCCTTCGGGCACTGCCCGAGGGGAGGGTTGATGGGGGCAAGCCCCCCAACACCCCCCAGGACACATTCTCTCCACCACGGTATGTACGGCAAGACAGAGCTGCATTCACACCGTAAAATAATAAACCAAATACCTTTATATCCGGAAACGTGAAACTTTCGTTTCTTTGTACTGTTGGGATTGCTTCGATTTTAATCACCTTTTTCGTCCTTTGGAGCTCTTGATGGGCTCAGATATAAAACTGGGATGGTTACTGAAGTCGAATTGTTCTTCGATGCCACTGTAAAGGTCTTAAAAAAGAACCCAGAATCAACACAACACTGGAAACGCAGCATTTCTCACCGGCTTTCAATCTCGAAATGAGCGGGTTGGTGAGCTGTCAACCTGTGGCTGGCGCAAGAAAGTGTGAAACACTCGATGCGCAGGGATTCGATATGAGGGTATAGATAAATATAAAAATATTTAATTGAAGTATATTAACATTACTAAAAGACTTTAAAGGTATAAATGCGTACCAGCAGACACAGATAATTAGCCAAATATCGTTTTGACAAGCGCGTAATGATACACACTAGACACGCAGAGCAAAAATGCGTTCGTGGGTCAGTGTCGTGTTTTTCCTAGCAAGGTAAACAAGCTCATCGACTTTGAATTTGAAAGGCGGCCGCGCGTTATATTTTCCTCATTTAGCGGTGACTATAAGGCCGGTGCATCTTAAACTATACGCTATCCCTTCTATTTTTCCCGCTCTATTAACATGGCGGTGTCCATTTTCCTCTATCTACGCGCGTCGCGGTCTTCAACCTCTACCGGTAAGTGTAAGTGTAAGTATGTGAATTTCAATTACATTTGATTTGGTATTGGCCTAATATTGTGCTTGTTGCCCACTCCCTGGGCCTTTTCTCAGAGTAAGCTGAATTTCAAAGAAAACTACAATTCTGTCACAACTAGCGCGCTTCACACTTTGGCGCCAAGATTATTTTGTTTCTCCATACACAGTGGCATAGAGTGTCAATGACGGGAACCAATCCCCCCCACACACAAAAGTAATTATTATGGTGCATGCGCAGATAAGTGTACATGATCTGTCTACACTGGCAAGTGGATTTAGCCACACAAATAGAGAATCATAGATGATGATAAACAAAAGAGGTAATTATTCAGTGCAGCTCTCTTTTCAACATACTGGCATCAGAGAATCCTGTCCGCCAGAGATGTACAACCAAGTTCAAATTTAGTATATGCCAAGCCAGTCTTTCAAATACTGAATACCTGAAAGTGCCAAAATGTATGTGATGTTAAAGACGAGATATATACTCCGGTGTACAAAATTTCAAAAGAGCTGTCCAACAAAATTTTTTTGGTGAAAAGGGCCTTGATTTCATGATTTGACTATTGTTACATTTTTTTTTTTTTTTTTTTATAAAAGGCTACAAAATGTACCCCGGCGTGGGTGGGTTAATAAAAGGCTACTACCTTGATTTTCTTCCTATTCCTCACGATCACTGTTATGAATAAATACATATTCAACATCTTTCAATTATATAATTAAAAAATAAATAAGATTCGAAATACGATTTCTAATTGAGGTCTACTACCTCAACTTCCTCTCTTTTTCCTACCCACTTGAACCACCTAAAAGCTATAACAGACATTATCAAATTGCATCTCATGTCAGCCACAAAACCTCCTATTCCGGCAGCCGGTCGCACTGACATTAAATTCCCAAATAAAACCATCATACCAAACCACCCGGTCTCGACAACACGAAAAGAAGCTTACTAACAAACTAAAGCAAAATTATAATCTCATCCCTACTATTTATTCTCAGTAATTCAATTAGATAAACAAATTCTATACAAATCTCACCCCTGGGGCCTTGTAGCACGAGGAATAAGGGAAAATACGGACTTTCCCAACCTGAGGGCCATCTTTACCACAACACAGAACAGCTGATCGACTGCGACTGAGGCGGCGGTTCTTTTTTGGAGACATTTTTTTTATATAAATATTCATTGTTTTTATCATTGCTACGTTATCATCAATATAATTATCAATCATTGAAATCGTTACGATAATGATATTCATAATAATTGTTATTACTAGTAGTAATTATAATGATAATCATAATAATGACATTACTATTATCATTATTATCATTATTATTGTTATGACTGTTATTATCATGATGATAATTATTATCATTATTATTATATTACATTATTATTATTATATATTATTATTATATATTATTATTATTATTATTATTATTATTATTATTATTATTATTATTATATATATATTATTATTTATTATTTATTATTATTATCATCATTATTATTATATTATTATTATTATTATTATTGTTATTATTAATTATTATTATTATTATCATCATCATCATTATTATCATTGTTATCATCATCATTATTATTATTATTATTATTATTATTATTATTATTATTATTATTATTATTATTATTATTATTATTATTATTATCATTATCTTTCTTATCATTATTATTATAATCATTATTATTATTATTATTATCATTATTACTATCATTATCATTATTACTAATATCATTATCATTATTGTCATCATTATTACTATCATTGTTATTATTATCACTATCATTACTTTCATCATCATCATTGTTATTATTACTATTATTATTATTATTATTATCATAATCATTATTATTATTGTTATTATTGTTGTTGTCATTATTATTATTATAATTATTATCATTATCATTATTATTATCATTACCATCATCATCATCATTATCATTATCATCATCATTATTGTTATCATCATTAATATTAGTATTATTATTGATACCATTGTTATCAATATCATTATCATTATCATTATCATCATCATTATTGTTATTATCATTACTATTAGTATTATCATTGATACTGTTGTTATGAATATCATTATCATTATCGTTTTCATAATTTTCTTTTTTGTTATAATTTTCATTGTTGTTGTTATCATTAATATAATTATCATCAGCATTATTGTTATCATCATTGTTATCATGATTGATTATTGCTCTTACTGTTGTTAGCTTTAACAGAATCATTGTTTTTACATTATCATTATTATCATCATTACTACTACTACTACTATCATTATTGTTATCATAATTGATATTATTATTATTATTATTATTATTATTATTATTATTATTATTATTATTATTATTATTATTATTATTATTATTATTATTATTATTATCATTATTATTATCATTATCATTATTGTTATAATTTTTATTATCAATATCATTAATTATCATCTGAATCATTATCGTTACTATTACTTGTATCACTGTTATCATTATTAGTATCATCATTATCACCCTCTTCATTTTCCCTTCCTTTCTTATCATAATAATTTCTTTTTTAAATTATTCTTGATTTTCTTCTATCTTGTATATTTTTTTGTTATCATTATTATTGTTATCCTCACCATCACTACTATTATCATTATGATAATGATTATAATGATTGTTATTATGATTATTGTTTGTATTGTTGTTGTTGTTGTTATTATCATTACCATTAATATTATCATTATTATACTTTTCACTATCATTATCATTATTGTTGTCATTATTGTTACTATTACTATTTATCAATATCATTATTATTATTGTTATCATTATTATTACTATTATCATTAACATCTTTATTAGTATTATCATCTTTATTATTATCATTATCATCATTACTATCATTGTTATTGTTATTATCACTATCACTATCATTATCATTATCATCATCATCATTGCTCTTACTATTGTTATTCGTATTTCCTTTTTATCAATATCATTATCATCACCATTATTCATCATTATCATTACCATTAGTGGTAGCAGCATCCATAACTGTATTATCAATATTATTGTTGTCATTACTATCATCATTCTTTACATTTTTGTTGCAGATGTTGCTGTTGCTGCTATTAATTTCAAAATGAATCGACATGATTGAGTAAATTCTTCTTTTTCTTTATCATTATTTCCAGTTTGTTGCTTTTGTATACTGGTAATATGTTGGATACAGATTTTACACCTCATAGTGTCAAAGGATTGATACTGTCATTGCCCTAATAATCATGTATTTTTTTACATATCGCGTATGTGTATGTCTATATCTATGTGTGTCTATGTCTACGTATAAGTGTGTGTATATGCATAGATTTATAGAATATATGTGACTGAGTTTTCTCTGGCATATGTGATATACATATACATGTGCTTATCATGTCGTTTACTTGTTCAACGAATTTACTGAACCTCTGGCTAGAGAGGTTGCTTAGCAGAAAATTATTTGGAAAATTAAACACGAGGAAATGGAAATAAAGTGTATTTTCTTAATGGTAAGAGTGGTACAGGAAATAAGCAAAAAAAAAAAAGAAAAGAAAAAAAAGTATATACAAATCAACAATCGTAATTAACCTGCTTACACCAATTAAATTTGATTGAAATGAAAATACTGGAATACACGCTGTAATAGAGTAACAGAAAACGGAAGCTTAATAGGGTAGACTGAACAGATTTAGTACACTTTTACTTAACCGTCTCACGAACTCCTTAGGAGTTAGTTGAGAAACACTAGTCTAGTAAGAATAAACTGATTGGAACGAACTAATGGTGATTATCTTTATTTAGGAAGTCTACAAAAAAGACTACATGAATATATTCAATAAAAGAATTGACCAACCTATTCATTTATTTTCTTCTGTTCATCATCACTACAATCTTACAATAATGCTTTATGCTAGGTTATTCCCAGCAAGGTAAAAAAAGCTCGTGTGAATGCAGTGACTAGTGCTTATAAATATTTAATGACCGTGAGACAGGTGTTGTCCACCATGATATCAGAATAATGCTCTTATCACAGCAATGCACCTTGTCAGCTGATTAAATGCTATGGGACGAATTTTTAGTATTAAAATAGCAGTGAAACAGCACCAAGAACCGCTGAACAAGCAGTTCGATCGGTGCGCCTAGTATCAAAATATAAAATACTGTTTAACGTTGTATCTTATCTATATATATATATTTTCGTATCCTGGTCCTTATCAATTTACATGTGATTTATGTATAAATATATACAGATAGCCAGCCATGCAAAAAAAGAACTGAGTGCTTATATAATCTTATTCGGTTTATATGAAAGATATAACTTTTTTTTTGAAAGGCAATCACTGTCCGTTGTATGAAAGGGGAAAAATTATGTGCAGTAATAGAGTGATTGGGCTTACAGAATAGTTAATATTCATAGCTAAAGTGGAGATTTTGTTTCTTGAACTAATATATACAAAGACCTAACAGCTGGTTTTACACACACATAAACAGACACACATAACCATTTAATTATACATGCCAAAATTTCGGTTGAAGTTGGTCTTCAACATAAAACCATACTAAGGGGGGGGGGGGCGCACTAATCCAAATACTCTTGGCTTTTATATACTTATTTCGGAGAGTAAAAGGCCTATACTTCCCAAAAATATAAAGTAGAGACGTATCCCACTTATTCGAGAAAAAAAACATTGGTTTCACTTGCACCCTCTAGTGAAAAAATTATTAGCTACGCCCCCGTTTTGGCCTAACGTGCGTTTCCAATACGACACGCACACATACACTGTACGTACAGACATATATGAATATACATCATGTATATAAATAAACATATATAAAATGTATATCTATATATGTACATATGTATATATACATATATGTATGTATATATATATATATATATATATATATATATATATATATATATATATATATATACTATATATGTATATAGTATATATACATATATATATATATATATATATATATATATATATATATATATACAATATATATATGTATACACAACACACACACACACACATATCTATCACACTACGACCTTGCCCACACACCAACGCCCACATGTGGAACAAAGTACCCAACACGCAGCGCCCACAGAGCCTAAACAAACGTATAATTCATCGTAAACCTATTCCATTAGACATACACATCGACTGATACGTGTAGACTCAGCAGTATGTGTTCAAAGTTGTAAATCTTGCTAACAACCGACCAGCAATTGACGTTTTGTGCATCTGGCGTTGTAGACCCGCTACCACCGTTGCCAACTCAGGCGTCAGAGTAAACAAACCCGTACAGTAGATAGGCAACAACTGATATACATATCAGTGTTCTTTATGTGCGTTATGATTAATATTATCATTATCATTATTATATTTTTGTTGGCCGTCTGGATCTATAAATACGTAATCCAAATGGCGACTCCGACACGTGTATAGGTCCGCGAAACCTGGTCTCGATTCTCTAAAAGAATTGATTTTCTTTTCCATGACACAGTCGGATTTTCTTACTCATTAGAACGATATATCATGGTGGCTATCACTACGTTCTATATATTTAGAAAAGAATCAGGTTTAACAATTTGTTCTTTATCTGAATCAGATTTTTTTATGATGCAATATTTCAGTTACCCCTAAAAAACTAGTTCATTAACACCATAGAAAACGAACCATAAGCAGAGGGATAACTATTACATCTACCCCTAGAAAACCGAGCGGGATGCTCAGTACACCGCTGACGATTCTGTCGCTCCAAAAAACGAATTGTACCTCATGAGAACAACAACCACCACATAAACCAAATCTATCTATGTGAGCCTCCATCTCATGAGTGCCGCGTCTGTGCCTCCGATGGTATAGAGGTAGTTGTCGGTGTGAGAAAACCTTACACCAGACACATACGAGGTGTAGACTTTGTACTCGTGGTAGCCGGCGCGCATACTTAGCACGGGGTACCTGATTGGGGAGGGAGAAAGGGACGAGGATGAGTTGGTTTGGTATAGTTAGAAGCTTGATGAGATGGACGGTCGGATGGATGGATGAGAGAGAGAGAGAGAGAGAGATGAGAGAGAGAGAGAGAGAGAGAGAGAGAGAGAGAGAGAGAGAGAGAGAGAGAGAGAGAGAGAGAGAGAGAGAGAGAGAGAGAGAGAGAGAGAGAGAGAAAACGCGTAGCCAAAACAAGAAAATACACGAAATACATTAAATCAATCTCAAATATTCACCAAACATTTTCCTCTCCTTCTCACACTTAATCTTACTCTAATCTATTTACCTATAAAGCCTGATGTAGCCATCTGTGTCACCAGCTGCCAGGACGTCTCCTCTGGGCCCTCTGTCGACTGTCACCTGGATATGGGCTTCCTTCCCTCCGCCCCAAACTCCTGTGAGGGGTAAAAGATGCTCAGGATGGCTCTGTTAAGTGTTAGTGCACGGGGATCCATTGATCTACTTTGATTCACCACTCACTCACTCACTCACTCACTCACTCACTCACTCACTCACTCACTCACTCACTCACTCACTCACTCACTCACTCACTCACTCACTCACTCACTCACTCACTCACTCACTCACTCACTCACTCACTCTACCTATGTTACCCAATGAAAGGCCACTCAATTTCGTTCCACTCTCTCATTATAAGGGCGAGGACTGAACACTCACCGTGAACCATGTAGCCGAGGGGTGACGTCTGTGTCACCCATGTCTCATTCCTCACGTCGAGCGAATTTTTCACTTTGGACAGCTCTCTCACGGTCCCTGTGGAAGAGAGATGTAGAATGAGGGAACGGATGGAAGGTGAGGAAGTGTGTCAGCTATGTTTATGGATGGATGGGTGGATGGATGGATAGAGAGGAGAGTAGGGAGAGATGGAGTGGAAGAGGAGAGGGAGAGGAGAAAGAGAAGAGAGAGGTGAGAGGAGAGAGGAGAGAGAGAAAGAGAGAGAGAGAGAGAGAGAGAGAGAGAGAGAAGAGAGAGAGAGAGAGAGAGAAGAGAGAGAGAGAGAGAGAGAGAGAGAAGAGAGAGAGAGAGAGAGAGAGAGAGAGAGAGAGAGAGAGAGAGAGAGAGAGAGAGAGACAGAGAACGAGAGAGAGACAGAGAGACAGAAAACAACAACAAACAAACAGACATAAAAAGAGCAAAAAAACAACAACCACGAACAGACACAACACAACGCAAACTCACAATAGGTCACATCATAATCCGAGGTGACCGTCTGCATGTAGCGTCCCGACGTGCTCCAGTCGATGCTCGAAAGAGGCTGCGACCCCGTCATCCTCCCAAAGCGATTGTACACGAAGCCGTCCTTGGAACTCTTGTACAGGTAGAGGGAACCGTTCTGGGAACCGACGGCTAGGATGTCGCCTCCTGGGAACGGCGGGGGTTGGATTTGAGGAACGGATAGGGAATAGGATAGATGATAAAGCAATGTGTAGCGGGTATATCTTTTATTGTCTTTTGGGGGGTTTATGGTACTGTGTATGTGGAATGTAGTATAAGGAGAGTATGTTTTATGAAGATGGTACGTATCATAAGGAAATATAAAAGATATAAAATTTTGGTTATATTGTACGATAAATGTCTTGAAATATGAGGAGATATAACAACATTTTTTTGGCGAGTCAGTGGATTGAACAAATTATTAAACGGTATCAAACACGTAAAAAACAAGTATGAGTGTGTACGCGTGCGTGTGTGTCTGCGTGCATTTCAGTGAATCCACACATGAAAAAGAATCCACACAGAACCATAAAGACAACCCACAACCCACCTGGATTATATGCAAGGCAGGAAAGCGGCGACCCACACACTCTGACAGTAGCCACGTGTAACCCCGTGTTGTTGTTCAGAACCACGAGGTGCCCGTCTATCGTCCCTGCAGATATCACGGTTCCCATCGGGTGAACCGCCACGCTCACGCACTCACTCTGGGCCTGGCGGGAGAAAGGAGAAGTTAGATAAAGTTTTTTCATTATAATACAAGGCTTACTGTTGACCGGTTCGAAATACTGGAAGGAAAAATACAAAATAAATATACATACATGTATATACACGCACACACAAACATGTATAGACAGAAACAGAGACACACACAGACATAAGCATATTCACAAATATCCACACACACAAACAAATACATATGCATACAGCCACACACACATACAAACACACGTAAAGACAAAAACACTGAAACACACACACACACACACACACAGGCACACAAACATGAACACACACACCCAAACAGACAAATAAACAAAACAAACACACACATACATACACACCCAAACAACACACACACACACATACATGCACACCCAAACACACACACACATACACTAAACACACACACACACACACACACACACACACACACACACACCACACACACACCAACACACACACACACTCACACTCACACTCACAACATACACACACAAACACACACACACCACCACACACACCCAAACACACACGCACACACATACACAAACACACACACACACACACACACACACACACACACACACACACACACAACACACACACACACACACACACCACACTCACACTCACATACACACACACACACACCACCCACCACACACACCACAAACACACCCACCCACCCACACACACACCACGCACACACCACATACATACACCACAACACCACAACACAATCCTAGTCATCAACCATCTGTAATCCCACCTGAATCCTCCACTCCAGCTGGTTCTCTCTCCACTTGACGATGTGCTTGTCGTAACCAGCTGTAGCGACGGTTCCATCCAGCTGGTTCACGGCCACGGCCCACAGCTGTTTACTGTGTCCGAAAACAACCTGTAAATACGATGGGAAAATATTAGTTACTGAGTTATTTTATTTTGCATAATTATTGTTATTGTTATTAATACTACTGTTATTGTCATTTTAATACTACTACTACTACTACCACTACTACTACTACAATTAATGACAATATTAATTATGATAGTGATAGAAATTATTATTATCATTATCATCATCACTATTACTACTACTGTCAACATTGTCTTAATTATCATCATTATCATTCTTATAATTTTCATAACCATTATCATTATAATCATTATTATCATTATTACTATTATTATTATCTTTTTTACTATTATCATTGTTATTTCTATCATTATATATAATTTATTATATCATTATTATCATTGTTATTATATTATTATTATTATTGTTATAATTTTTATTTTTATCATTAATTTTATCATCATTCTCATTAATATTATCATAATTGTCATTATCATCCAGATTATTATCCTAATTACAATCGTTATCATCATCCTTGTCCATTTTCAAAATTCTCCCACCCTCCTCTCCACCCTCCTCCCCCACCCCCCCTCCTCTTTCCCCTCCCCCCTTCCCCTTTTTCAACCCCCACCCCCAACCTCTTTCCCCCCCCCTCTTCCTCCCTCCCTCCCTCTCCCCCCTTCCCCCTCCCTCCTTCCCCCTCTTTCCCCCCTCTACCCCCTTTCAACCCCAACCCCCAACCTCCCCCCAAACCTACCTGATTGAACCTCCTCTGCAAAGAACCTTCCAGAATCATGTTCTTGGTCGTCCCTACGTAGATGTTGCCGTCGTGGTACCGGGGTCGTTGGGGGTATAGGGTACGTATGCCTCCTGCCTGCTCCGGTAGCTGTGGAAAGAGGGAGAGTGGTGGGGAGTGGGGGGGAGAGTGGTGGGAGAGGGAAGGGGAGAGGAGGGGGAGAGTGTTGGAGAGTGGTGGGGAGAGGGAATGGGGAGAGGGAAAGGGGAGAGTGGTGGGGAGAGGGAAGGGGGGAGAGTGGTGGAGAGTGGTGGGGAGTGGTGGGGAGAGGGAAGGGGGGAGAGTGGTGGAGGGTGTGTGAGTGGGGTGGGGAGAGGGAAAGGGGGGAGTGTTGGAGAGTGGTGGGGAGAGGGAAGGGGGAGAGTGTTGGAGAGGGGTAGGGAGAGTGGTGGAAAGTGTGGAGAGTAGTGGGGAGAGGGGAGTGGAAAGAGGGAGGGGGAGAGTGGTGGAGAGTGTTGGAGAGTAGTGGGAGAGGGGGTGGAAAGAGGGAGGGAGGGAGAGTGGTGAAATGTAGGGGAGTGGTGGGGAGAGGGAGGGGGGGAGTAGGAGTGGTGGGGAGAGGGAGGGGGGAGGGGAGTGGTGGTGGTGGAGTGTTAGAAAAGTGGTGGATAGTGGGGGTGAAAGAGGGAGGGGGAGAGTGGTGGAAGTGGTGGAGAGTGGTGGAGAGTGGTGGGAGAGTTGTGGAGAGAGGTGGAGAGTGGTGGAGTGTGTTGGATAGTGTTTTAGAGTGTTGGAGAGTGTTGGAGACAGATAGAGAGAACAGTGGTGGTAGAAAGAGGAGGGGGGACTGGTGGAGATTGGGGGTGGAAAGAGGAAGAGGGGACGGTGGGAAGAGGAAGGGGAGGAGAGTGGAGGTGGAAAGAGGGAAGAGGGAGGGGGAAAGAGTGGTGGAGAAGAGGGAGAGAGGGTGAGAGCGTTGGTGGGGAGTGGTGGAGGGCTGTCCGTTGTGGTTGGCTGGTGTGTGGTTGTAATCTTTGATGGTTGTAACGGGAGTGGAACTATGGTTATGCTTATTAGTTATGTGACGATGGTTGAAATTAGGGTCGATTTTTTAAAAGGTGGTTGTAGCTGTGACGATGATGAAGTCTTCGTAATGGTGGTGCAGTTATAAGTGGGTGGTGTTGGAGCTGCCTATTGTGGTGTGTATGTAGTTGTAAATGTGGTTATAATTATGGGTTGGGGATAATGGAAAGTTCACTGTGGTTTGTTGCAAGTTTTATAATGTAATTATGGGTTATGAGAAATCTCCTGTGGGTGTTGTGGTGGTTGTAAATGTGGTTATAATTATTTTTGGGGGATAATGGAAAGTTTTATAATGTATTTATGGGTTATGGGAAATCTGTGGTTGTTGTGGTGGTTGTAAGTGCGCTTGTAACTGTGGTTGTGAGTTGGTAGAAGTGCGTGGTTGCTTTGATGTTTATAATAGATAATAGATAATAGATAGGCGTCCACTGTTGTTGTTGTAATGTTGTGACTGTACATAACTGATCTAAAACAGCAATTTAAATGGGGATTTTAATAGATATTCATTTCCCTTAATTGATCAGGAAATCATGGCAGATTGATACAATTAATGGCATTGGTGTTATTGAAGGCTGTGGTTGATATCCGCGATGGTGAGCAGTAATTACGATGATTATTAACGCTAATTATATCCTTATTCTTTTCAGTTTTTTTATGCACGTCTCATTCTCTTTTTGTTTGGTTCTTTCTCCCTTTTTCTCACTCTCTCTTTCTCTGCCTCTCTCTCTCTCTCTCTCTCCCTCTCTCCCTCCTCCCTCCCCTCCCCCTCCCCCCTCCTCCTCCTCCCCTCCTCCCCTCCCCTCCCTCCCTCCCTCCCTCCCCTCCCTCCCTCCCCTCCTCTCTCCTCCCTCTCCCTCCCTCTCTCTCTCTCTCTCCTCCTTTTCGTCTCCGTAATCTTCCTCGAAATCCTCATCACAGTCCCACGCTACAATCTTCCGGTCCTTATCTCCTCCTGAGAGGATCGTCCCTTCGCTCAGGATTTGAAGGGAGTTGATGGGTCCGGAGTGAGCCTGGAGTGGGGAGTAGGAAGTAGAAAGGGGGGGGGGGAGTTAAGTGGAGTAGAAAGAGGGGTAGAGAAGGGGGTTAGAAAGTGGGAGTAGATGGGGAGGGGGAGTAGTAAAGGGGTAGGAGAAGGGGAGGGAGTTAGTGTGGAGTAGAAAGGGGGGGTTAGAAAGTGGGAGTAGATGGGGGGGAGTAGTAAAAGGGGGTAGGAGAAGGGGGAGGGGAGTTAGTGTGGAGTAGCAAGGGGGAGTAGAGAAGGGGGGGTTAGAAAGTGGGAGTAGAAAGGGGGAGTAGTAAAAAGGGGTAGGAGAAGGGGGAGGGGAGTTAGTGTGGAGTAGAAAGGGGGAGTAGAAAGGGAGAGTAGAAAGGGGGAGTAGAAAGGGAGAGTAGAAAGGGGAGTAGAAGGGGAGAGTAGAAGGGGGGAGTAGAAAGGAGGTGGTAGAAGGGGAGGGGAGTTAGTGTGGACCGTTTTTTTTCTGTTTTTTTTTTTTTTAAGGATGTATATACAGATGTATAGGGGGAATGTATAAATATAGTTGTTACTATGTGTGTGTGTGGATGTATAGTTATCTGTCTATCTGTCTGTCAGTCTGTTTATCTATCCATTTATCTATTCATATTCATATATTGGTTAATTTATCTAGTAATTTATCTACTTATTTACTTATTTATCTTGTTCTGTCTATCAATCTATTCATCCATCTATTTCTATCTATCCATGTATCTATCAACAAATCTTTCTATCTGTTTATCTATATATCTGTCTATCTACGTATCCGTCTGTTTGTTCGTAAACAAACACACACACACATAAACTTACATAAGCATTCAAGCACCTCACCCACACCCTCCCTTTCCCCCTCCCCCCCAACTCCCTCCTTACCACACCCTCCATTCCCCCTCCCTTTCCCCCACTCACCTGGAACTCCTTCTTGATAAAATACTCCCCTCGGCATTCACGCCCCTCCATCTCTCACCCCATATCACCCACTCCCACTCCCTCCCCTCCACTCCCCTCCTCCCCTCCCTCCTCTCTCCCCACTCACCTGAACTCCTCTTGATAAAATACTCCCCATCGGCATCCACGCCCTCCATCTCTCACCCCCCCTCCCTCTACCCCCTCCAACTCCCTCCCTGCCACACCTTCTATTCCCCCTCCCTTCCTCTTCCCACCCTCCCTCTCTCACCCACCTTACCCACAGCCTCCCTCCACTCCTACCCCCTCCATTCCCCTCCTCTTCTTCCCACCCTCTCTTCCTCTCTCCCCACTCACCTGAATTTCCTCTTGATAAAATACGGCATCCACGCCCCACCCTCTCTCACCCCATCTCACCCACACCCACTCCCTCACCCCCTCCCTCCTCCAACTCCCTCTCTCCCCTCCCTCCTCTCTCCCCACTCACCTGGAACTCCCTCTTGATAAAATACTCCCCTCGGTCACGCCCCACCCTCTCTCACCCACACCACTCCCTCCACTCCCTCACCCCTCCCTCCAACTCCCCTTCCCCTCCTCCCACTCTCCACTCACCTGGAACTCCCTCTTGATAAAATACTCCCCCTCGGATCCCGCCCCACCCTCTCTCACCCACACCCACTCCCTCACTCCCTCACCCCCTCCAACTCCCCTCACCCCTCCTCCAAACTTCCCTCTCCCCCTCCCTCCCTCTCTACCACTCACCTGGAACTCCCTCTTGATAAAATACTCCCCCTCGCATCCACGCCCCTCCATCTCTCACCCCACCTCACCCCTCCCTCCACTACCCCCTCCAACTCCCTCTCCCCCTCCCTCCCACTCTCCCCACTCACCTGGAACTCCCTCTTGATAAAATACTCCCCCTCGGCATCCACGCCCCACCCTCTCCACCCCATCTCACCCACACCCCCTCCCTCCCTTTCCCCCTCACCCCCTCCAACTCCCCTCCCTCCCCTCCCTCCCTCTCTCCCCACTCACCTGGAACTCCCTCTTGATAAAATACTCCCCCTCGGCATCCACGCCCCTCCCTCTCCACCCCACCTCACCTACACCTACTCCCTCACCCCCTCCTCCTCCAACTCCCTCTCTCCCCCTCCCTCCCACTCTCCCCACTCACCTGGAACTCCCTCTTGATAAAATACTCCCTTTCGGGATCCACACCCACCCTCTCTCACCCACACCCACTCCCTCCACTCCCCTCATCCCCTCCCTCCCACTCTCCCCACTCACCTGGAACTCCCTCTTGATAAAATACTCCCCTCGGCATCCACGCCCCTCCATCTCTCACCCCCTACCCCCCTCCACTCCTACCCCTCCAACTCCCTCTCTAGTACCCCCCCAACTCCTCCTTACCACACCCTCCATTCCCCCCCTCCCTCTCTCCCACTCACCTGGAACTCCCTCTTGATAAAATACTCCCCCGGCATCCACGCCCCACACCGTGATGAGTCCCTCGCCCCCTCCGCTGATGAGGTCTCCTGAGGGCGTGAACTCGATGGAGGTGATGTTCCTGCCGGAGTCCTCCTGCAGGGGGGGGGGGGGGGGGAAGGAGCGTTAGAGGAAAGGGTTAGTGATCTATGTTTCTGTCTGTCTGAATGTCTGTCTATTTGTCTATTATAGTCTCTTATTTATTTTCAACAGTACTATTTGAAGAAAGGGTTAGTATTCGATGAGACGGTCTTTTTAACTGTTATTTATCTATCACAGTCTGAGTATTTATTTTTCAACAGTGCTAATTGAAGAAAGGGTTAATAATCTATATGACTGTTTATCTAACTGTCTATCTATCTATCATAGTCTGAGATAATTTATTTTCAACAGTACTAATTGAAGAAAGGTTTAATAATCTATATGACTGTCTATCTAACTATCTATCTATCATAATCTGAGATTATTCATTTTCAACAGTACTCATTATATTTATTTCTATCATAAACCATTTTTTTACTACTAACCACGAAGGAAAAATGTCCACAATAATGCAACTTGACATCAGAAACCACGACACCACAACACATTTAAAATAATAACAAACATCACATTAACAGTAAAAACACAAACACCACAGGATAACAACATAACTAAAAAGCCCTGTGACACGAATGAAAAAAACACACAAATAATTAACAAACAGCAACACGAGTGAAAAAATACAAACCAATGATAAGCAAAAACATTACAAAATATAATCACAAGAACATCACAATGCAACTAAAAACACAGTCATCATCACAACACAGGTAAACTATAGAAATGTCAACAACACAACTAAACAGCACAAAACAGCAAAATCAGAGTCAAACGACATCACAGCAAACAATACAATAAACTTCACAACACAACTAAACAACGCAAATAAACATCACAGAACAAACAACATCACACGACAACCAAACAACATCACAACATAAGCAACCTCACAACACAAACAACATCACAACATAAACAACATCACAACACAACTAACAACATCCTCACAACACAAACATCACAACATAAACAACATCACAACACAGCAACACAACAACTAAACAACACACAAACATTCACAACACAAATCAGCATCACAACACAAGCAACACCACACCACAACTAAACAACATCCTCACAACCAAACCAACATCACAACCCAGACAAGCCCCGCCCCTCACCTGCACGAGATCCGAGCGCTGGAATATGCCATCTTTCCTCCTGGACCAAATACTCAACAACCCACGCCCATGAGTCACGATGAGGTTGTTGTCCAGCGGGTGGAAGGCGGCGCCCCACACGTGGTCTTGGTGAGTCTGGGGTTGTAGGGGGGTGGGGGGATGGGGGGAGGGGGAAGGGTTCATTTGAGTTATTTGTGGAGAAAGGTCTGTGGGGTTATGATCATAATCATCATTGTCAGTGTAGTTATTACTGTTGTTGTTGTCAGCATTATGAGGATGATTATTGTCATTATAGTAGCTGTTATAACCATTATCATCATCCTTGTCATCATCATTGACAAAATCATTATAATTATCAATCATTATCATTATCAATCATTTTATCATCATTTCATATTATTATTATATTTATCATCAATCATTATTATCATGATCATTATTATCATAATTATCATCAATCATTATTTATCATAATCATTATTATCATAATCATTAATTATCATAATTATATTCATTATATCATAATTATTATCAATCATTATTATCATAATTAATATAAATCATCATTATAATAATTATTATCAATCATTATCATCACAATTATTACCAATAATTGCGGCATCAATATTCTCACCAATACGACCATATCATACGACTCGCATATGTCCACTATATCATTATTCGCATCATCAAAAACGTACACCACTACGGCCATACAACGATATAATCACCATAATCACCATAATCATTATTCCTCGCATTATGTCACTATCATCATCATTCGCATCATCAAAAACGTAAATACGAATCAAAACTCTATAATTAGGTCAAGATATTCAATCCTCTGTGGATCTGGGTCACGCCATGCAAATTTAAGACTGACATGCTATTCTTTAAGAGAATCGATCATTTTCTTTTGTATTTTCTTCACACTGGTTATCGAAATATAAATTATGATGGGATGGTGAGGATGATGGCGAAATAGCTGTTAGTAATATTGATAGGAGTTAATTTCATGTTAATAAGGGTGATGGCTTTGATAATCATGATGATGATAAAAAACAAGAGTGGTAGTAATGATAATAATGATAATATCGGTGCTTTAAAAATGGGATCATGCTGAGCCTAATAACAATATAGAAATTGTTAGGGATAATGATGATGATAACAAAAACAATGATAATGACACATGATGATAATAGCGATAATACTCAGAATAATGATAATGATAATGATAGTAACAACAAAGATGATAATGACGATTATAATGATAATAATGATGATAATTATAATAACAATGATGATAATGATAATAACAATAATAACAACCTCGATTAAATAATGATGATAATGATAATAAGTGATGATAACAATGATAAGGATAACAATGTAACAATATGATAATTGATAATACAATAATAATCAATAACAATAATAATATTAACAATAAATAATATAACAATAATGAGAACAATAACGATGATAAACAATCAACTAACAACAATCATAACAATACCAAACAACAACAGTAACAACAAAAAATCAAAAAAAAAGACAACCCGCAACTCTGCCAAAAACGTGTTCATTGTCCCAAGTCCAGACCGAGAGGAGATGCTCGCTGTCCGCGTCCACCGCCAGGAGGAACTGCCCGTTGTTCTGGGGAGGAGAGAGAGGGGGTGAGAGGGGTGGGGAGAGGGGGTGAGAGGGGTGAGAGGGGTGAGAGGGGGGGTGGTGGGTGTGGAGAGGGGGTGAGAGGGAGGGTGGTGGGTGGTGGAGAGGGAGAGAGAGGGAGGGAAGGGAGGGTGGTGGGTGTGGAGAGGAGGAGGGAGGGAGGTGGTGGGTGTGGAGAGGGGGTGAGAGGGGTGGGAGGGGATGAGAGGGGGTGAGAGGGGGGTGAGAGGAGGGTGGAGGGGAGAGGGAGGGGGTGAGAGGGGTGAGAGGGGGTGAGAGGGGGTGAGAGGGGGTGAGAGGGGGTGAGAGGGGAAGAGGGTGTGGGAGGGGGTGAGAGGGGTGAGAGAGGGTGGTGGGTGTGGAGAAGGAGGAGGGAGGGAGAGGGGGTGAGAGGGGTGAGAGGGGGTGGGAGGGGGGTGAGAGGGGGTGAGAGGGGTGGGAGGGGTGAGAGGGGTTGAGAAGGGGGTAAGAGTGGGTAAGAGGGGGTGAGAGGAGGGTGAGAGGGGGTGGAGGGGGTAGAGGGGTGAGAGGGGGTGAAGGAGGGTGAGAGAGGAGCGAAGGAGAGAAGGGGGTAAGAGGGGTGAGAAGGGTGTGAGGGGAGGGTGGTGGGTGTGGAGAGGGAGAGGGAAGAGGAGAAGAGGGTGGTGGGTGTAGGAGGAAAGAGGGGTGGAGGAAGGGTGGTATGTGTGGAGAGAAAGGGAGAGATGGGATGAGAGGGGGGTGATGTTGTGTGGAGAGGGAGAGAGAGGGAGAGGGAGAGAAGGGGTAGGGGGGGAAAGGGAGGGAGGGAGCGGGGTGAAGAGGGAAAGAGGGGTAGGGAGGAAGGGAGGGAGAGGGTGAAGGAGGGAGAGAGAGGGGGTGAGAGGGAGGGTGGTGTGTGTGTGGAAAGGGAGAGAGAGGGAGAGAGGGGAGAGGGGAGGAAAGGGAAGGGAGAGGGAGGGCAGAGGGGAGGATAGTGTGTGTGTGGAGAGGGAGAGAAGGAGAGGGGCAGGGGAGGAAGGGAGGGAGGGAGGGAGGAGAGAGGAGGTAGGGGGGGGGAGAGAGGAAAGTAGGAAGGGGAGGGAGGATGGTGGGTATGGAGAGGGAGAGGGAGGAAGAGAGGGGGTAGGGGAGGAAGCGAGGGAGGGAGAGGATGAAGGGGGAGAGAGAAAAAGGGGGAGGGGAGGAATGGGAGGGAGAGAGGAGGTGGGGAGAGAGAGAGAGAGAGAGAGAGAGAGAGAGAGAGAGAGAGAGGAGAGAGAGAGAGAGAGAGAGAGAGAGAGAGAGGAGAGAATAGATATAGATAGATAATAGATAGATAGATAGATAGATAGATAGATAGATAGAGAGAGAGAGAGAGAGGAGAAGAGAGAGAGTGAGGGAGAAGGAGAGGGAAGGGGAGCCTATGAGGATGAAAAAGAAGAGAAGAGAAGGAAAAATCAAAGAAAAGAGAAGAGAAGAGAGCGAATCAATCAAACAGAACAAGACAAGGAACCATACAAAAAAAACACACAAACAAAACCAAAAAACACGAAATCAAGAACCCCCCCCAAAAAAAAAAAAAAAAAAAAAAAAGGAATTTCCTAGCAGCTTGATATTCTTTTTTTTCGTGAGGATGAAAGAAAGAGAAAGGAAAGAAGAAAAAGACTAGTGCTGGAATCAAACAATAATAAAAACAAGACAATAACCAATATAACAGCCGAAACCCCCCCCCAAAAAAAAAAAAAAAAAAAAAAAACACAAGAGAGGCCATAAAAACGCAAAAAACAAAACAAACAAAAAAAACAGAAAAACGAAAAAAGAACTGGAATCAAACAATAATAAAAACAAGACAAAGAACCATATAAAAGACAAACAACCCCCCGCCCCCCCCATAAAAACGAGAGAGGTCATAAAAAACGCAAGAAACAAACAAACAAACAAACAAACACGAAAAACGAAAAAAGAGCTGGAATCAAACAATAATAAAAACAAGACAAAGAACCATATAAAATACAAACACCCCCCAAAAAAAAAAAAAAAAACGCAAAAAAAAAAAACAACACGAGAGGTCATAAAAAACGCCAAAAAACAAACAAACAAACAAAGACACAAACAAACAAAAAATAGCAAGCAGCTCACCCTCCTGGAAAAGGCGACCGCCATGATCCCTGCCCCCAGCTCCTTCCGCCCAAGGACGTGCAGCGTGTGGAGGGTGCGGGCGTTCCACACTCTGACGTGGGCGGACCATCGCTGACCCCGGGCCGCCCTTTGACCCGAGGCTACGAGTTCACGGGAAGGATGGGTCGCCATGCTTAAAAAAAAAAAAAAAAAAAATCATTATCAATCATATCAGTGGTCTTATCATCATTATTCTCATATCATTATCATTCTCATCTTTATTTATCATGTTTATCATTACTATCTTTGGTGTGATACTATATATTTTCTTCTTGTCTTTGGAAATAGCAAAACAAGGTCAGTCTAATTAGCATATTCTTTACTTCTATAGACTATAACACTTCCTAACCAACGACCCTTAACTATCCCCTTAATTAAAAAGTAATGACCAAAAATAGCTGAAAAGAATAAACATATCATCAATATAAACATTTAATCATTTACATTTAATCACAACAACATATCCACAACACCCTTGACGCTCCTACAACCCCACCCTCTCTCAAACAACAACAAACAACCGAACCCCGACTCACCACTGAATATCCTCCGTGTGCTCCGTATAGTGGCGTTGGATATCGTCGTGTCTGTCGTAAATAACAGCCACGGCGGCCACATAGTAGAGAAGTTCTCCTGTCGCCAGCACCCACAGGTTCCGTCGGGAGTCCGTGCCCCGGTAGCCATAGCTAAGGGCGGCTCGTTAAGGAAAGGGTGACGGAGCGGTGGTGGCGGTTGTTGTGGTGGGGATGGCGTGGTGGTGAAAAAAGGGGTGGTTGTAGGGAGGGTAAAACGCGATGGTGACGATGTAAAATCGTTGGTAGAAATGATGGTGAGGATGTTTATGGTGTCACGAGTGAGGAAAATGGTTCTGATGATAGTGAGGATAATTGTGATTAGTGATGACAATGATAGTGAAAATTATGATAAGAATGATGAGGTTAATGAGGGTGATGAATATGATGATAATAACAATGACGATTATAAGGATAATGAAAAAAAATAGTGATAATAATAATACCAATAATGATATGATAAAGCTCATAATAACCACAATAACGGTAACGACCAAATAGCAAGGAAAATAATGACAATGGTAACTGCCTTGTGCGTGCGTGCTCAAGAGACCAGGTGCCGTGGGGTGGCACATTGGGGCGGGGAGAAGAGGGTGGGGGAGGGGGTGTTGCTGTCTATAATCACGAGAAGGGTCAGGGAGAAAGAGAGAGGGAGAGGGAGAGAGGGAGAGGGTGAGAGAGGAGAGAGAGGAGGGGGGAGTGTTGGGAAAAGGCGTATATATATCAGGTGATCACGTGTCTTGGTGTGAATGAGTGACACTAAGTGAATATCTAGGCTGCATATTGTTTCGTTCTCATTATACACATATCATCTATTCTGAACGTTATATTGTGCGTAATAAGTCATAACATATTACTTAAACCTCTCTCTATATATCTATTTTTAACAAATCTTACAATCAATGATTTTTTTAATGCTACTCCTCTATAATTTCCTTTGTGATATCAGTGCCGCCCTGATTGCTAATGTTGAAATTGTTATCACTATGTCAATATCCTTTATTTATAGTGGATATTGTTCTTTCTTAATGCCATTATTATTTCTATCATTATGTTGATTTATGTGATCATGTGATTCTTTTAATATAATTTCTGGCCCACTTCCTCTTTGCGTACAGGCCATGCGGCTGTCAGGGTTATCGTGAGTGCCATAGGTTCCTTACAGCTATGATAATGATATTATCGATAATGATGATGATAATTATTATGGTGGTAATGATAATGATAATGGTAATGATTATGGTGGTATTGATAATGCTAATGGTGATGAAGATGATAATAACAATGTTAATGATTATGATGATAATGATAATAATAATAACAATAATAATGATCATAATTATGGTAATAGTTATGATAATGGTGATAATGGTAGCGATGATAATCGTGATGATAATTACAATAATAATGATAATAACAATATCAATGATGATAATGATGATAATGGAAATAATAAAGATAATAATGACAATGGTAATAGTATTAATATTAATTATGGAAGGGATGATGCGATGATAATTTAATTGTAATATATAATGATAACAAAAAAATAATGACACTGATGATATCGATTTTACCAAAAAAAAGGCAAAACGTAATTCTTAAAACAACAGCTAACAAACATAAGGTAATCATTCAAATTATCTCGGTTACCATAATTAGCATAAGTATATACTCTCGATAATCAAAAGATCTCTTCATACAAAGAAATAAAAGTTGAGGAAAGTCCTTATATAGTCCTTTCATGCTGTTCAGTCGGGGTCAATCGAGGTCAAGTAGAGACCGCCAAGAGGTCACTGAGTATAATTAGTCTGAGGGGTCATTAGCGAAACATATATAAATGAAATATTAAGAACAAGGACGAGTTATATGTGATATACCAAGAGAAAGTGTAAATAAGAATCCGTTTCTAAAGTAAGTGAAATCTTATGTACATTCCCGTAGAGTTGTGCACCCCATAATTGGCGACAGGTAAATTTAGGTCATTATGTAATAAAAAGTCATTAATTCTTCAAGGGGGAAATTAATAAAAGATCGCAAAATGATGAAAGATTGATTGTTCAAAAGAAGAAAAAACGAACAAAGGAGATATAAATTGCAATATGATTTTAGGTAAACATAATAATCCAGATCAATTGATGTTGTGTGAGTGTGTGCGTACGTGTATGTATGTGTGTGTATGCATATGTGTGTGTGTGTGTGTGTGTGTGTGTGTGTGTGTGTGTGTGTGTGTGTGGTGTGTGTGTGTGTGTGTGTGTGTGTGTGTGTGTGTGTGTGTGTGTGTGTGTGTGTGTGTGTGTGTGTCTGTGTGTGTCTGTGTGTGTGTATGTGTGCGCGCGTGTGGTGTGTATGTGTGTGAGAGTTGGTATGTTTATGTGTGTATTTACACATGTATCTGTACTGCCATGCGTATTTACATACAGACTAGAGTCCATGCAAATCCCAGAATTTAAAATACAACTAATGGTGTTTCAGAAACATACAAAACCATAAGAGATTAAGTTCCCTCCACACGCATGCTATATAGGCAAATATAATCAGTGTCTATGTACATGTATCTCCATGTAAAGTATGCGCGTATGTTATCTCCGTGACCAGTGGTATAGCGTGTAACGGGTTTGCCACATGCTCTTTTTTCTCCCTAATAATACACTATTGTGATCTAGTCATGAAAGACATGCAAAACAAAAACATTATCTGATGAATCTTGCCGCCTAGCTATGATACGTAAACGATAAAAAAAACAATGTCACGTTAATTGTGTTAAGTTATATAATCTCTATTTAAAAAATATCAATATCTAAAATTATTATCGTGATTTTAAAGTCCTGTTTGGTGACTAAAACATATGATTATCAAATGACGCTGATTGTTAACAGTTCTGGGCGAGATTAAAAAAAAAATAAAAGATAAGTCCTTTATGATAAATCTTTTTCACAAGAAAAAAAAATCCAGTAAAGCTTGAGAGAGAGAGAGAGAGAGAGAGAGAGAGAGAGAGAGAGAGAGAGAGAGAGAGAGAGAGAGAGAGAGAGAGAGAGAGAGAGAGAGAGAGAGAGGGAGGAGAGGGAGAGAGAGGAGAGAGAGGGAGAGAGAGAGAGAGAGAGAGAAGAGAGAGAGAGAGAGAGAGAGAGAGAGAGAGAGAGAGAGAGAGAGAGAGAGGAAGAGAGAGAGAGAGAGATAAAAAAAACAGAAGAACGTGACGAAAAAATAGGAAAAAAGATAAAGAACAGACAAAAAAAAAGAAACCTCGTTAGGATATGGGTGAAATATTTCTATTCTTTATCTTTTTTTTTCACTCGCTTACTTTCTTTATTTCCTAATAAATATATATAAATAAGGAGAGACGACGAGAAGAAGCAAATAAGAAAATATAAATAAAAAGAGAAAGAAAAAGGAAAATAAACGAGAAAAAGAGACAGAGAAAGTCGGTAGAAGAGGAAGAGGAAAAGGAAAAAAGTAAATAAAAGAGATAAAAAGGGGGAGATATAAGAGAGAGAAGAAAAAGAAAGGCGGTAGAAGAGGAAGAGGAAAAGGAAAAAAGTAAATAAAACAGAAAGACAAAAAGACAGAAAAAGAGAATAATGAAAATAAAGAAAATATGAAAGAGAATAAGAAAAAAACAAAAGACAAAAGCGAAAGAAAAGAAAATCGAGATTACACTCAATAAAAGAAAGAAAGAAAAATAGACACAAACACACGAAAAGCAGAAGAAGAAACGGAAGAAAAAAAACACACACACGAAACAAAATGACAAAAAGAAAAGAAAAAGAAGAGAGAGAAATACACAGGAAGGGAAAAAAACACACACAAAAGGAAAAAAGACGAAAAGAAAGAGAAGAGAGATAAATGTACAGGAAAGAAAGAAAGAAAAACAAAACAAAAAATACACGCAAAAGGAAAAATGACGAAAAGAAAAGAGAAAGAAATGCACTCCCTTTTGTCATAAATACCAATTCCCTAACCAATTTGACCACGTGACCTAGCGTGACCGGAGAGGAATGCCAATAATGTGGGGTCAAGATGCAGGCTGGTGCTATTAGCATGCATAATTAGTATGATGACAGGGTGTGTGTGTGAGGGTGTGAGTGTTCAGGGGGGGGGGTCAGGAGATTTTGCGTGTGTGTGGGTGTTTGAGTGTGGGTGTGGGGTGTGTGTGTGTATGTGTCGATGTGTGTGTGTGTGTGTGTGTGTGTTTTCTACAGGCGTGTCTGCTTGTAAACCTAAGATGGGTATTAGTCGGTTATTTAAGATGCTGATATATATGGATGCAAACTACGTTAGCAAACTTATATCTAAATACAAAATGAATAAAAATGAATGGATGACATGACCAGTATTTAGCACTATGGTGTCTTTTTCTCCAGATAGACAGATAGATACAAAAAAACCTTAAACAATAAACGTAAACACAAGCATAAACAATAAACAATAACAGAAACACACTTACCAAGAAAACACATCTACACGCAAAGAAAACCCAGTAAAATACGAAAACAAAACAAAGACAGAAACAACAAAAAAAAAAAACATTCACGCAAAGAAACCCAGGGAATACAAAACAAAACAAAGACAAAAAACAAAAAACAAAACTAAACAACTCTGCATTCACGCAAAGAAAACCCAGGAAAATACAAACACAAAACAAAAACAGAAAAAAACAAAAAACAACCTACTCTGCATTTACTTAAAGAAGACTCAGGGAAATACAAAAAAAAAGAAAAAAACAGAAAACAAAAACAACCTACTCTGCATTCACGCAAAGGAAACCAAAGGAAAAACAAAACAAAACAAAACACAAAACGGATCAACAGAATGACAAAACGTTGCAAAAAAATATATAAACAAATAAATAAAAAGCAAATAAAACGCAAGACATGACACGCACCAACATTTCCTTCCATATGGTCTCGCTCTCGTCTGTCAATTGCGAATTCAACAGGTTTGGATTACAACCTTGATTTTTTTTCTTTTTTTTTTTTTTTTTTCTTTACTTTTCTTTCTTTTTTCTTTTTCTTTTCTTACCTTTTTTCTCTTTTACCTTTTTACCTTTTTTTTTTTTTTACTTTTTTTTTTTACTTTTTTTTTACTTTTTTTTTACTTTTTTTTTTTTTTTTTTTTTTTTTTTTTTTTTTTTACCGGGAACTCATCTGATGACCTTTATGTTAAGTTATGTTCTGTGCGAAATTTGCATGTACGATTATTTGCGCAACTGCCTGTTTGTGCATGACTAAGTACTGCCTGTTTGTGCATGACTAAGTATCTATTTTGTGGTTTTAATTAACTGCATTGTTCTCTTTTGTGATGCTACGGCCATTAGCGTTCTTGTTAGTGGCAGTTATTGGAGTGCATTGTGTTTTTGTTATAATGAAAAAAAAATAGATGCATTCTCTCCCTTTGTCTGTCTGTCTGGGTCTATCTGTTGATATGTCTGCCTGTCTATCTGTCTCTCTTTTTTCCCTTCTCTCCGTTTCTCTCTCTCTGTCCTCTCTCTCTCTCTCTCTTCTCTCTCTTCTCTCTCTCTCTCTCTCTCTCTCTCTCTCTCTCTCTCTCTCTCTCCTCTCTCTCTCTCTCTCTCTCTCTCTCTCTCTCTCTCTCTCTCTCTCTCTCTCACTTCTCTCTCTCTCTCTTTCTCTCTCTTCTTTACTCCCTTTCTCCTTTCCCTCTCACTATACATATACGTATTAACACACCGAAATCAATATCCTTTTAGTCTCATAATTTCTATTTCCTCTCTTCTAGACTGTTCCTTTTTCTACGAAGAAACAGGCCACAAAAACAGTCTACTTGAGGCAGTGAGAGAGATTAGTCTATAGGCCTACACGTAAGATAGGCCGGAACAGGATTAAGGTCACTGTGTCAGGGCCAGGAAGGTCAAGGGGTCAACTGGTGTAAGGGTTCAGACTAAGCCAGACGTGTTTTTTTTTTGGCGTTTGTTAGGTAGAATGAGGGTTTATAACTTTTGTCTTATACGCACAAACACATAAATGTACGCAGACACACACACAGCGCACAGATATGTACACAAAAACCTACATGCACACACACACACACACACACACACACACACACACACACACACACACACACACACACACACACACACACACACACACACACACACACACACACAACACACACAACTCACACACACGCACATAACAGATGTATATGCACACTTTGTTTATGAAAGCTGTAATAAAATTTCTAGATGCAGCAACAATAAAAAAGACAATGATAAGAAAACGAGAAGGTAAGAAATGAATAAAATGGAAAGAAAAAAATACTCAAAATTGTACATAATTAAAACGTAGTACATGGTATCCCTTCCCCTTCACCTTGAGGCATGATAAATAGCAAACTGGCAACTGCACCGTACCCCAATTTTCTTAATTAAGAAAGGGAATTAAAGGTTCATAATGGCGAATAACCGATGTTTTTTTTCTTCTACTTTTGAAAGGGAAATTAAAAAAAGGGAGAAAAAAAGAGAAAGGTTGCTTAAGATATTGTTTGAAAGGAAATGAAAAGAGGTAAATAAATGAAATGACGCACACACACACACACAAACACACACACACACACACACCACACTACACACACACACACACACAACCATACCACCCACACTCACAACACCAATAACATCAACCACCCCCAAACCCACACCCTACAACCCAACCCCCAACCCCCAACCCCCACCCTACACCCAAAACCCCAACCCCACCCTACACCTACAACCTCACAAAAGAAAGGATACACCAGTCGAGAGTCAGCGTAGCGTGAGGAGGAGGTTCGGGTTGGTGAACGACATGGGTTGTGGGCGAGTGAGGATCCGACGCTGTCCCTTGATGGTCACAACAGCTGATCTGCCATCTGCCACTTCTTCTGATTCTTCGTTCTTCTTATCTGGTTGTCTCTGCGGAGAAAAAGGGAGGAGAATTGAGAGAGAGAATGAGAGGAGGTATGGGAGGGAGGGAGGAAGAGAAAGGGAAAGAAAAGGTGAGAGAATGAGAGGGAGGGTGATGGGGTAGGGAGAGAGGAGAGAAAGGGAGATAATGAGAGAGGATGATGTGGGTAGGGAGGAAGGGAGAGAAAAGGGAGAGAGATGAGAGCGGAAGTTGCTGGGGTAGGGAGGGAGGGAGAGAAAGGAGAAAAGGAGAGAATGAGAGGAG